AAGTGTAAAAGCTGTAAGATTTCTCTTTGGAAAGATATTTGAAGAGGTCAGTCTCCATACTAGGCATGGTGATGTTTGGACAGACAAAAAAAGAGTCTGCCATTTGGATTCAGACAGGTAGGTCATGGCTTTAACTGTCTGCTCACTGAAAGGAAAAAAAAAATAGATACAAGATTTCATTCTATTATTCTCCATTTACAGTTGGCAGATAAGTTAAAAACAGACTTACTCTTGAGTTTATTCAATACTTGAGGAAAATACTGCACTTTTTCCTTTGCAAATTCACAAATTTCATTAAACTAAGAATAATTTATTTGAATGTGACTGTATTTTCTGTTGACTTGCTATTATGTAAGTCCTTCTAAAATGGTCTTTATTGAGCCACAACAAAGATTCCTTTTTTCTTAAGGCAAAAGTGCATGCAGAAGATATTGTTTTCTTTCCTTCTTCAGCAGTTGAACAGCAGCACTGAAATGGAGATTCAGACACCTACTCTTGCAACAAGCTGCACACTGAAGGCTCAGCCTGAAGAAAACCACTAGAATGCTGAGATAATTCAAAGACCTAATGTGTTTGACATGACCTGAAATACTGAAATCTAGGCATTTTTCTAAGTATTATGTTAGTGATGGAGCTCCCATGACATTTTCATACTAGATATACTATTTCAGCTCTTTACAGTTTTCCACTAAAAATTACCTTTTAAGATTTTTTTTTGTATGTGCATGAGGATAGTACTTGAGGGTGCTAAACTGACAACACTTAAAATCCATTTAATGGATATAGCAATGTCAGTACAGTGCTCAGCTCCCAGCAGTATGCCAGTAATACCACATTTCTTCTACCAAAAAGGCAAGTGAACATTTCAACATCTGTGGTTTTCTGCTGAGACTTGACAAAGGCCTTGCAGAAATAAGATCAGACATTCTGAATGTTTCTTTCATTGGGAGCATGAATTCTCCCTTCTTTTTCCCTTACTGGAAGTAATCTGACTCTACTAGCATCTACAAAGGGGGAATTACCTTTTAATAGATGTTTTAATAGCTATAATCTTCCAAAGAATGATGAACAAAAGATAAACTGGTAGTTCTACTTAATTTCTGTGCTCTATGTTTTACTTACTTCTAATTACTACATTTGTTGGTAAGCCCTATCTTTGCAGTGCCCAGAACGTTAGAGAAACTGAATAAATTTTATGCACTTCACAGTTCTTTTCATTTTATTGATGCGGGTTTTTTTTCCTGTTGAGGAATAAGGGCAAGTATGCAAGCTGACTACAGGAGATAACAAAGAGTGCAGTACGTGCATGTTATTTTCAGAAATGAAAGTGTGAATGTGCCTTTGGAGAGGGAAAAAAAGGAGAGGGGAATAATATTTGGGAGGAGAAAAAGTAACAGAAGGGCTGAGTGGGTTTGAGTCATGGGATAGAGTACAAAAGAGGAAAGGAGGAAGGAGCAGTTGAGGAATGTGAGGTGCTAATGAGGAGCAGGGGCAGGCAGCCATTAATTAATTTTGTTTGATCACCTATTCCTGCCAGAAATATGTCTATAGAGACTGGAATAATTCTAGCATTGCAGCCTGTCCCAGAGGACTGAACTGAAAGTCAGACAGTCCATACATCTGCTTTGACATTCTTATTTAAAGGATTCACAAATCCCTCCATTGTTCTACAGGATGCTCCTCTCCCACTGCCCGTGCTGAAAGCTCTCATTCATCGAAGCTGTCTACACTGCTCAGCCTGAGCTTCTATCTGGGCCAAATTTGGAGGCAGTTCTTTTTACTGTTCTTTCCTGTTATATGTGATTTGGGCTGTCCTGCCAATCACTGTGTAGGGGACAAGAGCAGGGGCTTGTCCATTGGCAGGGAGGAGGTTCAGCAGAACGCACTGCTGCACATGTTATCATGGATCTGCAGAGTCTCAATGAAAGGATCTGAGCCCTGCTACTTGTCTTTTTAAGACTGAAATAGTGTGTGAAGGGAAATGCTAGGATAGGGATTGCCAGTCAAAAGGAAAAAAAAAATGCCCAGGCAATGAAAAACTCACATACGCCACTCCTCAGGGTACAGGGAAGCTGATCAGAGTTTGGAAGAAAACACTAGCGTTCATGGGCCAATAGCATATTTGGCTAGGCCTGGCAAAATCAGATCCAGGAAAAGAATTCACTTTGCAGCCACACCTCCTGGATAGCCAAAGAATTGATGGAGGAAACAGGAGCAGTGTAAACACATCAGCTATGGATGTGGTAAGACACTATAAAAACCCCAGGAAATTCACGCCCAGAATTAAAACAGAACTCACAATTACCTTTGGAATTTTCTTCCAAAATTCTTCCAATTCCTTCCAAAATACTCAAAATCAGAAACAGAGAAAATTATTGTTGAAAGTATTTCAGCTGCATAATTATATCATATACTAACCACCCATCTCTGTGTTATATTTAAAAACTTATATACCACCAACAAGCTACCCATCTTGCAATGCCAGGAGGAGTTTTGGCTCTGGTACATGCAGCACTATGCTAAATGTAGCCCAGGCTCTGGCCACAGAACATATACTTGCCAAACTTTATGTCCCCTCCACTCTTCACCGTGATAGGGAATATGTGTGCTAACGTCTTTACAAACAATTCCATAGGTGAAGGTATGGGTGTTAACGTCTTTGAAATGGGTTTTAATGTCTCTATTAACTTCAAGCACAGATTTGTTATGGAGCTGTGAAAAACACCAATCACTTGTTCTTAGAATTTTTAAAAGTTTAATAATAATAAAATGGTTATAAAAATAGTAATACAATTAGAGTAATAAAAAGTTAGAGTTAGGACAATTACAAGACAATAAAAAGCAAAGAATTACAGACATCCAGATGTTTTTGGGCACTAAGCTGCCAAAAACATGCTTTGTGAACAAAGGAATAACCCTTAAAAACAACAGCCTGTTGCATATTCATATATCTCATCCATGATGCATAAATTCCTTGCAAATTAAGAACTTTTCTTGTTTTTGTCAACTTCTTCCCCTTAATCCTGGTGGTTCCATAAAGATGGAGAGAAGGTGGAAGAATTTTTGTCTTTTCCAATAAGGAGGCTGTAACTCTTTGTGTCCTGTCACTGTTATCTCTGTGCAAAGAGTTTCTTGATTATCTCATCCCTTTCTTGAGTTAGTAAAAAAAATCTTACATTACAGAGTTTCTATTTTAACATTACGTTATAACCTAAAACTATATTTAACACACCACTCAAGAAAATTAATACAGCATAACTTTCTAACATTACACATATAATATTCATTGTAATATTTGCGAAAAGCCAATCATAAAATACTCATTTTTCACAGAGCCCAGCCAACTTGGCTCCTGGAACAGACAGGTGGGAGTTTCTGACTTTTGGGCAGCAGGTTTGTTACAGAGCCCAGTTTGACTCCTGAAACAGAGAAGTGGGTCTGCACAAGCCCGAAGTTCTGAACTTTGGGGTAAAATGACAGGTTCAAGGGGGGAATATGTGGAAGGCGGTTCAGGAAGGCTGTACCTCCCTAGTACCTCAGCCAATGGGGAAAGGAACAGGGCAACATGCAGTGGGGTGTTCAGGATAAAAGGAGGCTGTGCCCTCTGAAACCCTGAGAGAGGAAATCCTGCAGGCTGGTGTGACCCAGTGGGCTCTCCCTTTATTTGAATAAAGTTGCAGGACTCCTGTGTCTCCTTTATGGACATTGACTTTTCATAGCATGATTTTCCCTACAGCCACAGAATGAGTTTGGCCCTACATTTATCCATCATGAAACATGTTACAGGTGAGTGATGAGATAATTTGCTTTCACAATTAAGATGTGAACATTGTATGTATGTTAAGAGAAGTTTTGTAGATATATAGTTATGTAAATGTCTTTCCCCCTTGCATTGTTTTCACTGGATGGCTTTGGTAGTCAGGCATTTGGGGAGGATTGGCTTGTTCCTATTGTAATACCTGACCTCCAATCAAGATGTAACAAAGATCTCCACCACTACATGGCAAGGAAGGAGTCGGCTGACAAAGTCTTTCGGAGGGGCTAGAGGTATAAAAGGCGGATCATCCATTTTGAATAGCATGTATCTGAGAGTCACAGGGCCTCCCAATGCTGTAATTTTTCCTTATTTAGTCTTTTTGTTGCATTTTTTGTTAAGATTTAATAAAGCTTTAAAATTTTTAAAAGTGAGCAGTTGTTTCTCACAAACACACATTTTCCAATTTTAAAACCCTTACAATCCTGTTGGAAGGTTTCCTTAGTACTATTGTTGGTCCTCAAGCTCATAAAGTCATACCTGTGTGCCAGAGGATCAGTTCTTTAAAAACTTTTGTGCAGGTGGCTCATTTTGGTGTGGGAGGGAGAAGCAAAAGGGAGCTCTGGAAAACCCGTGTGCGTGCAGGGGCCAGGGACAGCCCTGCAACCAAGGCAAAGCTGGGACTCTTGCAAAGGCAATGGCCCAGTGCTGCTGTCCATCTCACTATTAGGTTTTGTGCTTTTGAGCTCCCAGACTCATGTGATGTGGTCAAACAAGAATCCCTGAGATTTCTGTTGTCACAGAATCACAGAATGGTTTGGGGTTGAAGGCACATTGAAGGTCACCTAGTTCCAGCCGTGGGCTAGGACACCTTCAAACAGACCAGGTGCTCAGTGCCCCATCCAACCTGGCCTTGAGCAGAGCTTCCTAAAGTTTTTTTTTTTTCTTCCCTATGCAATGGATTGCTGCTCTTCAAAAGTGCAGGAATGAGCTTGACTATGCAATAGAGCCCACGAGAAACTCAGCTCTTCGAGCCGGGGTTAAACGAGAACAACTTTGTACAGCTTTTTCGTTTTCCATATGGGGAAATGGAAAAGTGCCCGAGTGGTTTTTAGAGCTGTTTTTTTGCAGGCACAACGGTGAGAACGAGCGGTTCTGCGGTGCGACAGGCCGCGCAGCGCCGCGGGCAGCGCCGCTCCCCGGCTTGCCTCGCCGTGCGCACGCGCCCGGGCGGCGCCTGCGCGGCGGGGCGGCGGCGCGGCGGGCGCGGGTCTGCATCCGGGTCGCCGCCGTGCCCATTGTCTGGGGAAGGGGCCCGGGGCTCGGCGGCGCTGCACCCGAGGGCCCCTGCCCGCCCGCCGCCCACCCGCGCAGGCTTTAGTAAGTGATCCGCAGCGGTTCTGCCGGCCCTGTTCCGCGGGGGTGCCGCTGTGCCCGCGGAGCGCCCCCGCCCCGAGGGAGCGGGCGCATCGCCGTCCCTCGGGCGTCCCACGGTCCCGGCTGCGCGTCCCTCTGCGTCTGGTGCCTGGCGGATCGCGCCGGGGCGCCTCCTCGGGGATGCGGGCTGCTCGGGGGCGCCTGGCGGCCCCAGCGCCCGCGCAGCCGTGCCGGGGCCGGGGCAGCCGTGCCGGGGCCGGGGCAGCCGTGCCGGAGCCGGGGCAGTCCTGCCGGGGCCGGGGCAGCCGTGCCGGGGCAGCCGTGCCGGGGCCGGGGCAGTCCTGCCGGGGCCGGGGCAGTCCTGCCGGGGCCGGGGTAGTCCGGCCGGGGCCGGGGCAGTCCTGCCGGGGCAGCCGTGCCGGGGCCGGGGCAGCCGTGCCGGGGCCGGGACAGCCGTGCCGGGGCCGGGGCAGTCCGGCCGGGGCCGGGGCAGCCGTGCCGGGGCCGGGACAGCCGTGCCGGGGCCGGGGCAGCCGTGCCGGGGCCGGGGCAGCCGTGCCGGGGCCGGGGCANCAGCCGTGCCGGGGCCGGGGCAGCCGTGCCGGGGCCGGGGCAGTCCTGCCGGGGCCGGGGCAGTCCTGCCGGGGCCGGGGCAGTCCTGCCGGGGCCGGGGCAGTCCTGCCGGGGCCGGGGCAGTCCTGCCGGGGCCGCGCGGGTCCCGGCGCCTGCAGGGAGCACCAGCGCTCCGCCGGGAGGGCGGACCCGTGCTGCCTCACCTGTGGGAGCGGCTGTCCCCGGACCCCGGCGCGCTGCATCTGCCGGCTGCTCTCGGGACTGCCCCCGTGTGTCACGCCCGTGCCGCCTTGCAATTTAAATGCCCTTAGCGATGCTGAGTTCTCTTTATGCCGGCCAGTAACAGCACTGTTTTTCTCCCTGCAGTGGACCGCAGTTCGAAGAGGAGACAGGTGAAGCCTTTGGCAGCTTCGCTGCTGGAAGCTTTAGATTATGATAGCTCTGATGACAGTGATTTTAAAGTTGGAGATGCTTCAGGTAAATATGCTTTCTCATCTCCTCGGTTCAGAATTATCTAATTTTTGGTTTATCGTTGCTCATTTAATATTTTATAGGAGGCAGAATGGTTGTAGTGAGTCTGCTGGGACTTGGAGCCTCTTGAAGGGAGTAACTTGATTGGATAACTGGGACTCTATACTTCAGTTGTGATTATTTTTTTATAACAGAAATCTCATGATTGTGAAGCAAGTTTTGGTAGGAATATTTGAGTAGCTTTTGTGCAGACTGCCTTAACTGTATTTATTGCTTTTGAGTTCTTCAGTGTAGGAATCATTTTTGGAATATTTACTGTATTTAGTATTGCAATAAGAATCTAAAGCCATTTTGTTTTGGACAAGTCTGGATAATAGTTTGTTTTGGACTTATGAACTTGACTTTTTCTCAAGGTTAATTCTACTTGGTGAGTAGAAACGTAAAGCAGAAAGACAATCTGTTCTGGTTTTCATTGTTTTTTACAATAGACAAACTTAAGGTGTCCATTCAGATAGAAATATATGGAAATGTGTACACATTTAATATTAGAGGGATGTCCTCAATACAGAGTGTTGTTGCTTTGCAGTCTTTTCTGTATGTGCAGATTCTATGTCTGCAGTGAACATTCACAGAAACTAAAAATAGACAAGATGGCCAAAATAAAGTTAGTAAACTCAAGTATATTGAAGGAAGGGAGAAGAAGGGATAGGACCATGTTGGTCAATAAACTGCACATTGGATGTTCTGTGGTGTATGCTGAGGGAAATAAACAAGAAGATGCAGGATATATAAGATGTGAGGCAAGCATTATGACAGCTTATCAAATAACTTGACTTTGTTAATTCTGCAGTGGAGATGCTGGTGTATGTTTTGTGTGAATGTACTGTGCAAAAATATTCCCATTTAAAGGCTTTTTCTTTAACATTTTGGCAAGTTCCTCTGTATTGATGAACTTAAAAATGCTTAACAGTAATTCACCAGTGTCAGGGTTACAATATGCCCTAATACTTCTTGTCTGGTGTGGGTGGTTCGTTTTGTTCTCCTCAGAACCCCTTCCCCTAGACTTAGACATATTTCCCTTGGTTGTTTTGATAGAGCAGGCTGCAGTGGCTTAATAGAGTAAAACTGATGTCATCTTATCATTTCATTTTAAGACTTTGGAAGCTTGTTTCATCTACTCTTTTAATTGTGTTCTGAGGCTTTTTGATTCTTTCTTTTGAATAAGGATATAATTTGCCATAAAAGGAAATTATTTTTAATTACCAAAGAAAATCTCCCTGTTTTGGAACAATAATGTGGGCAAGATTTAAAGGAAGATGAGAATTGGAAAGGGAGTATGGGTGATGAGCACATAATTCAAAGCAGTATATTAGTTGGTCAAAAGACAGTAATTTATTAAAAATAATGAATACAGTTTTCTGACTCAACATTTTGTGAATGCAGAAGATTCATTTGTAATTGCTATACTTTTTGACTTTTGGGACATTGTGTATATACCAGAAGGGGGCTTGTCAGTATCTAGCCTTGAGTGTATTTCAAAATCAATTTATTTTTGAGCAAGTTGAATGGATTTTCCTTTAAATATGCAACTGAATTGAAACAAGCATACAGAAAAATCCAAGTTCTACTTAAAATGTTATTTTCTAATTGCTTTTTGTGTTCCTATATCTCAGGAAGTGTTGTTTTAGCATTTCCAAACTTATATCTATCATTTGTAGGAGAAATTAATGTTCTGTTTAATAGCACTTTGAAACAGCAAGAGAATTTGACGTCTTATACTTTATATGAAGATTTTCAGCGTGGAAAAAATTTGTGAGGGTTTGGAGAAGTTGGGGAATAGAAAGTTATTACAAATAAGAGTTTCTTACATGTAATACAAGTTTAAATGAGTAGTTGCAGGAAATCTGAATCAGAACATCTCTGCTGGTTTAAAATGGAGCTGTTATAACATACTGTAAAATTTGTTTGCACTTAGTCCATTTCATTTTGGCTGGAAGAATTGATTAAATAAAAGGATTTTCTTATACACACATACACACACACAGACATATATAGGACTCTCCATGAGCAGTCTGTTGCAAATCAGTATTTAGTATTTGCTTGAATTCAAAATGACATTGGTATCGTTTGCTTACAAAAGGAAGTAAGTGTGTCAGAAGTAAGAACCAGTTTGCATTGAGTATGAGCACAGATTCTAGGATGGTAATTCCAAAGCTCCATGACTTATGCTTATTTCGTTCACAACTGCATGTATAGGTGTTTAAAATAACAAAACAAAATAGAAAATTAGGCTAAAGGATTATTTAAATATGGAGTCAAAAGAATTCTGAAGTTGTTTTCTTCCTGATGACTGTGTTGTGTCTATATGTGTGACCTTTAGGATCTCCAGTGGTATTTACTAGTAGATGATGCTGTGCAAATATATGGGATCTTACCTTCATTGTTTTGCCAGATTTCTGGGAATATGCAGTTCAGTAAGTATTTAAGAAGTTGCTATTAAGTGCTTTAGGAAGCAGCTGGGATTTCTGAATTTTTATTTTCAGAGTCCTGGCACCTTGGTACATTTTTTCATTATAAAAAAATATTTTAAATCATCTAACCTCTGTTTCCACCAAAAAATCCACAGGCAATGTGGACTTTTACTTTCAGTGTAATTAATTTCTTTTCTTTTGGATTTAGGTCATCCCAGCAGTCAGTTGGCCTTTTCTGCTTAACAGATCTCAATGGTTCTGGCATCTCTATAAAAATTGATTTTAGAACTGTTGCATTCTTGTAAACTTAATGTAAATAGTTTTCAAGCTTCTGGAATTTTCATTATGTTTATGCTGAACAAAGTAATTTTTAATGGCTCTTCTGTTTGTATTAGTGATGCCATATTCTAAAGTACTATATTCTTCTGGCTTTTGTTAAACATCTTGAAAAAAATATTCCATGAGAAAGACTGTCATATGTAATCTTAATGTGAGATCAATCAAAAAAACTCTCCCTTTGGAGTCAGAGTGTACAAACATGTGACTTGAAATGATGGTGCTGTAATATACTCAACTTAGGGCTTTTAATAGTGTCTTTCACAATACAGATCAGTTATTTGAAGGTTTGCTTTTAACTTAACTAAAGCATGCTTTGGGAATCCTTATGTTAAGGTTTTACTCTGCAATGGGAGCAGCTGGAGATACACTGATGTCAGAAACCAGAGTACAGGTTTAGAGTAATTCCCAGCAGGACTCCAAAGCAAGAATTTTCCACTTTTCTTCTCTCTCGTTGCTGAACTAAGTCAGTTTTGTCAGCGCACGTACTGAAATTGAAATCCCACAGAGGAATGTAGTGGTCCCTGCACAAGTATCATGTGTGAATTTAAGGACTGGTTCCTGTCGCAGGGTAGCTAAGGAGAAAATAACTGAATGCTGCCTTTGAAGAACTCATTCCTGTCACTACTTCTGCTGCTAGTCTTGTTGACTCATATTTTCACATACATTCTTTTTTTTTTTTTTTGGTGTTGAGTGTGAAGCCTGACATACATATATATTATGTACTATTCTTGTAGTTGAAGTCAGCAGAAGATCTGTTTAAAACATGTAATGATCTACATAAATGCATATATTATCTATTCTTAAAAACCTGTGTCCTGATTTAGAAATAAAAAGTTGCAAATATTATTATCTTTATGTAACTTGTTTCCTCTTAGCACAATGGAGATTACACTTTTGCTTTCCTGTGCAGAATATTGTAATATAAAGAAGTGTTCATGAAGGATCAAAATACTGTAGTGTTTGACAGTGCTGAAATCTTGATGCAGAAGCAAATATATTTGGTTTTTTGGACTAGACTTAAATGTTAGGCAAGGATAAAGTTGTTTCAGTAGACAGGGAAGGTAAAAGAATATTGGCTAGTTAATCATTAGTAAGTTATCATATATTTCCATATTAATATGTAGTTACTGAAACTGGAATTCACAAGGGCTTTTTCTAATTGAGAAAATGGAAAATAACCAGCATTTTGTTCTTTTAGAGTATCTTCATCCCAGGTAAAACTTCTGTCTATACAGATGTCTGCCACCCCAAGTAAAACTTTGGAGTCGCAGACAAGATTTTCAACTTCTATTTTTGTTGTAAACACTGGGATTTCTGTTATTCCAGGTGTTTGCTGACAAGCAATTGCTAGGGCACCCAATTTCATCAGTGTTCTAACTTTGTAAATGAGGCACTTCCTAATGATTCAAGTCAAAATTGGCAATCTTTAGTTTTATGTGGTTTTGCGCCTTGAATAGACATCTACTGAAATGTCATATGACATAATTATTGCCAGTGTAAAAGTGAGGAAGCTGCTTACTAAATGACTTTCCTTTGTTCCCTTTCCATATTTTTTTCTATTAAACTAAGTACTTGTTTTCTGAAATGTGTAATTGTGGATCTGTGGTCAGTTTTGTCTCCTGTTCTGCCCAGTCTCCATCTGCAGTTAATACATATTAGATATTTCTTTTCAAAACATTTTAGAAGAAAGTTTCTCTCTGTGAGCTGTAGCATCTTAATCTATATTGGTTTGGTTTTTTGTGTTCTTAATCATGTTATTTTGGACAGTTCAATTTTTTAAACTGCCAGCACTGCTGATGTTGAATTGCCAGCAGTCTACCAGTATTTAGTCATCATATGCAGAAAAACAGCATAGAAAGTCAGGGGCTTATATCTAACTGGTGTGTTAGATTTCTTAGAATTATGTTGCAAGTGAGGTATTAAGCCTTTAGTTCTTGCTTATAGTTTTATTGATCATATCATAATGGGCCTCTGTGTCTAATTAATAAAAAAATGTGGTCACAATTTTGCCAGTTACACAGCTCTACCTTTTGTAATTTAAAAATTCTTACTTTCTATATGTGACCTAGGTATACCCACCTCTTTTTTTACATCCATTTATTAATATTGTAGCTTTCTAGTTCATTTAAGCATTTCCTTCAGGTATTTTGGAGTCTTTATTTGTGATATCTAGATCAGATGTGTAGGAAGTAGAGC